TGTATTCTGCAATTAAAACATATAATTTTGTCAAATAAAAATGATCAACTTGCGATTTGAAAAAGAAACATGCCCATATGAATAGTTGAACACGTTTTTTCGTTTTCATATGCATGTGGATTGAACTAATTAGTTGATTAATGGTGACAACATTTCAAACTTTATTTTCCTTTTTCATTCTATCAAATGAATGATATATAGGTGTATTATATGGTGATATCTATGTTTGAATATGCATTAGTCAGCAAACATTAGTCATGTTTTTTGGAAAATCATATAGCTTTAGATGCTTCCAAAAAGGTTAAGATTTTAAGAAGCTAAATAAGCAATAGCCTACACAATTTTATTTTATTTTGTTTTCTTTTTATCAACATGATAACTGTTGTGTTAGGTACAACTACAAGTGACAAGATTTGGGCTTTGTTTGAGGTGAAGCCCCAACTGAAACAATAAGTGAAATTTTGATGACTTTTTAGATTGTAAAAATTTGAGCACATAAAAACAAAAGAATGAGACGGGGTCAAATTATAGGGAGATTCTACAGTTCCGTTTCGGAATTGTTCCGTCAGAATTTATAACTGTTAGATCATCATGTAACCGTCGTGGATAGTTGACCTAACGGTAATTACAAACCCCGACGGAATAGTTCCATAACGAGACCGTAGAATCTATCTGGCAGCACACTTGCTCCACATAATTGTCATTATGTGTGCGCGCGTACTAGCCTAGCATTAGTGGGTGATTAATACTTACAACATGAGTTTGAAATCTTTAATCATAACGAATAACATCACATTCAATTATTTAATTTCTGGCTATAGATATGAAAATAACTGTTCAATAATTTCATTGATTTGTGATATGTCATTTTCCTGCTTGTGAATGAGTGACTACATGAGAAGATAATGGCTATTTGATTTAATTAATGTACGTGGTGCAGTTGGTAGCTTGGCACATCCATGTACATTCATTACACAAATCTCTTCATTTCTATTAAGATTCTTTTTTTTTTTTTTTTTTTTTTTTTTTTTTTTTTTTTTTTTTTTTTTGGTAACGATAAAACTATATATTAATAACATATATTATATACTAGAACAACTAGAAACAATCGAATTCATCAGCTACTCAGCTGAATCTAGAAGGAAGGCTACCATAAAGTAAGTTACAAAGTCGACAACATATACACGGCAAAATTTTAAAATTGGTCCACTATGTTGGTCATTTTCCGAAAAAGATCCATCATATAGGGCGTCATAAAGAAAGGTCCACTAAGTTGCCACTTAAATCAAAATTTATAAAAAAACCAAGATAGTGTACTATAATTGATCGTCAGTTTTAGTACACTATCTTGATTTTTGTATGAATTTTGATTAAATTTGTAACTTAGTGAACCATTATTGATGACACCTTATATGATGGACCTTTTTCGAAAAGTGACCAACATAGTGTACTAAAAATGAAATTTAGCCACATATACACAACACAAACTAAAAAAATACTAAAATACTTCCACAAATGAAAAAAACAACAAATTCCAATAGTGGAGAATAACAAACCACAATAAACAAAAACAAACACAAACACACACAAGAAAATACATACTAAAATATAATATAACAACTCCCCGACCTCTTCTAGCTAAATCGACCGGGCCACCACTAAGACCATGCCCTAAGCCGCCAACAAGCCATCCAAAAGGCTACCATCAGCAACTCAAAAGCCACCACCAGACGAAGAATGAGCTGCAGTTTGAACCCAACAATTAAACCCAACATAAAGTAGCTTTATTTATATAACAATTATATATACATTAATGTTGTTGTTTGTCGGGTCTAACCGTACACAATCATATATATTTTTATTTTCAAACTGAAATATCATATTTTAAAAACAAATTACCATACACGTATCAATAATAACCAAATAAATGCTTGATTTAATTCCTAAACACAATATCAAAAAAAAAAAAAACTATATTACATATTTATAGTAACAAATTATGTGGCATATA